GTCATCGAGACAAACGTACGAAGCTCCTGAGCGAGGTAAAACGAAACTTTTGTTTAGATTTTACTTTGTACAGGACACTTTGAGCTACCCACGTATGAAAAGAAATCGACAGACTATTATGTACAACTTTTTGGTTATAAACTTATTTTCCAGAGATCTTCTAAAATATCCAGATTTAGATATCTTTTCAAGAGTCGGTTTTGCTTATGAAACATAAGTCAATCTGTCCTCTTACATCATCTATCGTTCTTGAGTTATTTAAAAATGCGCAAGTGTACTGTTTTCTTTTGCGGACAAGGCACTAAGTGCTAGATGTCTGCTCTATTTTGTATTGAATCACGTCTTCTAACATTCAAAAAGAATAACATATACAAAGAATGTTTTCATATTGTCAATTCTTCTTTTTTGACCACATTACGATTCGATACACGTCATAAACTCGTTTCTATATAGAAATGAGAAAACAAAGATGTCTGTATAAACTTCTATACTATGATAGAGACGAAAGAAAACCAGCATGGTCATAACAAAAGAAAAGGATAAATTCTAAACTATAAATACGTTTGATTGAGGATCGTGAGAAGAATAAGTCATAAAGGATTGCACAATCAAAAGAACGAGCTTCATTTATTTTAGGAAAGACTTGCGTCTTTTATTTGATTTTTTCTTATTTTTAAGATTCAAAATAAATTATATCTACATATATTGGTGAATTTGGCATTTGTATTATTTTTCTTATTGTCAGAATGAGTCTTAGTGTTTATTTATCATTTAATGGTAATTGTGAAGAGGTAATGAATTTTTATAAAGATAAAATTGGTGCAAAGGTTGAATCGATCATACGTATTGAAGATGTTCAAGGAAAATGTGACGGAATATCTGACAAAGAAGAAGATAAAAAGAAAATAATTCATGCTGTTATGTATATTAATGATACAAAATTAATGTGTTCAGATTGTCGTAGTGATAAAGCAATTATTGGAGATAATTTTTCATTATCATTTGATTTCAAGAATATTGATGAAATACAACGTACATTTGATGCATTATCAAATAATGGTGGCACAGTTACAATGCCAATTCAAGATACGTTTTGGAATGCAAAATTTGGTATGTGTAAAGATAAATTTGGAATTCATTGGATGTTCAATTATGATAAATTAAAATCTTAATTGATATGATCGTTCTACATACACAAGAACACGACATTTAATCATTTTACAAATAATTCATATTAAATAGAGTGGCCTTTCTTTGTATTGTTGTGATTTTTTATCGGTTTTCTTCTTTTTTACTTTTGATTATTGAAATAAATCCCAATAAACATGAATTTCTACTTGCAATACATTCAATGAAACAAATGAAAACGAGTCATCACAAATGTAGAGCGGACATTTTTCTACGAAATGAGTAGTTGGTCAGCTCTTTGTGGTATTTTTCTTCTTATTCTATACATGTAATGAGTCTCAGATCACAGTTACTTTGTGTCATACAATATAATCTTTTATATATATTTCTATTAAGTGTTATGTGTGACCTGAGACTCATTATATGTATAGAATGAGAAGAAACTACTATCCGTTCCAAAATAAAATGTCATCGGTTGCTTTCGAATTTTGATAGAAGATAGATAACGAGCTACGATTTTCACCTTGATGTTGCTAAGACCCAAGATATGTTTCTGTAAGCAGAAACTTCTTTCAAAAGTTTCTGAAAGTTCGGTTTTCCAGAGGATCTCTGGAAAATCAGCTCCGTTCTTAGAAAACTAACATACAAAGTTAGTAACTTTTTGCATGCGTACATAGTCGGACGT